AGCTGGAGTGAGGATAGATGGAAGGATGGGTGATGGATGGGTGGAAGGAAGGGTGGGTAGGAGGAAGGAGGGAGGGTGGATGGAGAGATAGCTGGAGTGAGGATAGATGGAAGGATGGGTGATGGATGGGTGGAAGGAAGGGTGGGTAGGAGGAAGGAGGGAGTGTGGATGGAGAGATAGCTGGAGTGAGGATAGATGGAAGGATGGGTGGATGGATGGGTGGAAGGAAGGGTGGGTAGGAGGAAGGAGGGAGGGTGGATGGATGGATGAAGAGTGGGGAGAGAGAAGGATGGGTGGGGAGAAGGGAGAGGTGCATATTCTTGGAGTGTGGTCCAGGATTGGCTTAGGAAGCCCGGGCTCTGCTGCTTGAGAGGAGAGGGGCAGAGGCCCACCCTGGCGCTCAGTGGTAGGCTTGGGGCGCTCTGATTTGGGTCCCACTCACTTACATCAAAGTCTACTTTCTCCCCTTCCGGGATCTTAGGAGCAGTGAGTCTGAGGAAGAGAGAGGCTGGTGAGAGGGTGCCGACTGCCTGACCGTGCGTTCACCTGAGCTTTGTTCTCATCAGACTCATGACCCTCACGCCCAGGGCCGGCCCCTTGGAGCAGGCCTCCACCACCCCAGTGCCCGGGTTCTGCCGGCTGACTCTCCGTCTCCGTCTGCAGGAAAGGCACCTCGGTTTCTTTCTCAAACCAAGGAGGCAGGGTGGCCCCCGCAGGCCCCCGGGAACAAGGTGGCGTTTGCCTCTGGGGTCGGGACCGGCCGTGGAGACCCTTCCCGCTTTTCTGGCCACTCTTTAATCTCTCTTTCTGGGGCCCAGGGAGGGAAAGAGGCCTTCTAGGAGGAAGGAGCCCCCGGTCCACCGGCCGTGCAGCCCCCTCCTCCCACCAATATGTTCCAGATGGAGCGGAGAGTTGAGACAAGGGCTTTTTAAAACAACCACAGAGGAAAGTGGAGCGGGGTGTCGATCAAACGCTGGAGCGGGAAGGGATTTTCTGAGCTTGGAAGCATCAGAAGTTCCCTCCAAGGGAGAGATGTGCAGATGGCCCCATGCAAATGAGAAACTTATGTATGTGCAAGAAGGCAAACTCGGGAGCCAGGGGAAAAGCCCAGACTAAGAAAATATTTTCAGCAAATACAGAGAAGACTTATATCCTTATGCAAACTGATGATTGAGAAAACATAGAGACGTGTCCACCGTGAGATAAATGAGCACAGGGCACAAACTACTGACTCTCGAGAAGAAAGACAACCCGTTCACAAACGGGAAAGGCTGGCCCTCGCGCCATCGGAGGAATGCAAAGGAAAACAACCGTGGGATGCCATTTGCCATCCATCAAGGGCGAGCGCGGAGGCAGCCTCTGCCTCGGGTGAGGAGGGTGTGGGACACAGAACGGCTCACATCCCACGTAGGAGGCCCACTTGGCCAAGCCCTCGTGGAGAGCAATTTGGCAACGGACATGGCAGTCTTAAGAACGCTCATACTCTTTGACCCAGTAATTCTAGTTCTGGGAATGTGGCCTAGGGAAATAGCCCTGAAGACGGAAAACGCTTCCACCCGGCGTCACTAATGATAGCGAAGAACTCGGGGAGCCTGCAGCAGGGCATGGGCAGGAAAACCACCGTTTGTCCAATCGATGGAATATTACGTGGCCATTCAAAATATTTAAGAAGACTATATAAAAACATGGAAAAATACTTATGAATAGTGCTAAATTTTAAAAAAGCAGAATTCAAGGCTGTATAGACAGTCTGATGTTTGAAAAACAGCTAGAGTTGAGGTCTTTTTTTCCAAGCCCTTTGCATGGAAAAAGAGTAGGAAGAAATAAGTATTTTTATTTCTTTCTGTTCCTTTCCACAGTCTGGCGGGCTGGTGGGTGGGTGGGAGAATGATGGATGAATTTCTTCTTCTTCATTTGACTTTTATGTACTTTCCAAATTTCCTTTAATAAGGTGTTTTGTTTTCATAATGAAAACACAAATAATATTTTCTAAAATGAGAAAATATCTTGTGTTCTGGCATCAATCTATTCAAAATCACCAAAAAAATAAAGTGCAAAGGCCGTGAATAGCTGACCAAACC